GTTTAAAGGAATTGTGGTTTTCTTTTTAGCAAGACTTTTTTTTTCCTCTCCCAATTGCTCTTGAGGTATTTTGAGGGGAGGTGGGCAGTGTTTGTTGTTCAATATGTTTGCTGTTCATTTAATGAAGAGGGTGCACACCCCATTCCAGAGAAGACACAAAGCTGGGTGTTGTCATACATTAGTGCAATGGATCATACAAAATGCAGGTTTTCTACGGGATTGTTAAGTCTCTGAATGCAAAAAACAGTCCCAACTGCAATATTTCAGTGTTGGGTTAATGATGCTAGTCAAATTAAGAAGTGTTCTTGTTCACAGGACATATTTTAGCACTTTATACATGGAGTGGCTGGATGATTGCATCTGGATCCCAGGACAAGACTGTAAGATTTTGGGATTTGAGAGTGCCAAGCTGTGTTCGTGTTGTGGGAACAACATTTCATGGAACAGGCAAGATTTGCTATCATGCTTCTAACCATCCTGGCATGAAAGTAGACTTTGAAGATGTCCAGGTCACATAGAGTGAATGTAAGGGAGGCTGTGGCTGGCACAGGAGGGCAGCTCAGCTTAAAGAAAGAACCTGTGAGGGCATCTGTACCTGTGGGGTTGGTTTGTTTGTTTGTTCCTAAAGTAATATTTCCTTTCATAAGATGGGTAGTGCTTTTGCCTTATGACTTTCAAACAGACACTTTTAAGTGCATTCAAATACAGCAACCTAACTGAAGTCCTTGAAACTTGAGGGCCAGGGTGAATTCCTTGCAGTATTCCACATTGTTTCATAAGAGTGGCTTTCTTTCCTGTGATGGAACAGATACTTTCTCATGCAGCTTTAATACTGTCTTTGCTATGATTCAAGTGTGAATTATGGCTTCAGAGTTCTTAGTGCTGAACCATAAAGACTTTTATTCTTAGCTGAGTATGTTCATCTGTCTTGGTTTGAAAGACAGATGTCTGCTAGGCAAGAGCCTGCCTTAGAATGGAGAATGTGAACTCCCTCCCTCCGAATTATTACAGTTTTGAAATTAAGGAGCTCTCAGGCAAAGACACGAGATAGGAATAGCAGTTCTTTACTGGTGTGTATAACAAGGCAAACAAACAACAGCAGCTCTGGCACTGACGAGCAGAGCCCGGGACCCAGGGACGCTTCCCTGACCGCGTTTCCCTCCGGTGCAGTTCCGGGCGCCGCCGCCAGGGGCGCTGCCGGCTCCGGGGGCAGGCCAGTGCGGTGATCCGCGCGCGGCGGCAGGGGGCGCTGTGGCGCGGGCAGCGCGCCGTGATGGCGGCTGGGCCCACAGGAAGGGCTCGGGGGAGGAGAGGCTTCGCCCCACAAACCCCGGGGGCAGCGGATCCCGGTGCCCCAGCAGGGCTCTGAGGAGCAGCCAGCTGGGACGGCAGGCATGAGCAGAAATCCCGGGGCGGTGGACGAGATGTATCAGAAGCTCCGCAGCAGTAGCTGGAAGAGCGGCACGTCCCGGCAGGGCAGGGGGATGCGGGAAAGAAGAAAGGCGGCTCCCGGCTGGGTTATGGCGCTGGCAGCCAGTTCCTTCCAATTCCTTCCCGCAAGCCGCAGGTCCGGCTGTTCTCCTCCGAAATGCAGAGAGACCGCAGCCAGCCCCGTCCTTTACCTGCCCAAATCCCGCTGTATCCCACCCCTCCGAGAGAAACTCCCACAGAAAAAGAGCTGTAGCCAAATGCTGCCCTCCTCTCCCCACCTTGGCCACTTTTGTTTTAAGTACCCAGTAGTTAATTTCCTAGCAACTTATGGGAAAAACTTCTATAAGTAAAGTAGAAAGAACCCAACCTCCAACATCACCTTAAATATGAGGCCAGCTTTCGGTGTTCTACAATGCCATGTGTAAAATAAAAAAGCAGTTGGCTGTTCGCAGCAGCGCAGCTAACGGAGCCGCGCGCTGTTGGGTTGTGTGGCCCTGCAGGGAGCGCGGTAGCCTCGGTGGCGGTGGATCCCAGCGGCAGGCTGCTGGCCACGGGCCAGGAGGACTCGAGCTGCATGCTGTACGACATCCGCGGGGGCCGCATGGTGCAGAGCTACCACCCGCACGGCAGCGACGTGCGCTCCGTGCGCTTCTCCCCGGGCGCGCACTACCTGCTCACCGGCTCCTACGACATGAAGATCAAGGTGACGGACCTGCAAGGTAACGCAGGCGCTGGGTCACGCGCTGGCTCCTGTCTGGGGCTTTTAACGTTGCGCTTGAGAACTTGGCTCAAGGATCAGGTCTTACTTTAAAAGGGGAAGAAATAGTAGAGCTTGGAAAGGTTGGATGTGTATATATGTGGTTGTGTGCGGTGGAAGTTGGCTGGTTGTGGTGCTGAAAGTGTAGGCTGTGAACTGAATCTTGCTTCGGGGTGAGGGTCTCATGACAGTAAAGCCATTAGTTAACACTCTTGCCTGGTGAGACGGCCGTTGCTTTCAGACAGTATTCATAAAATTGACCATTAAAAAAATGCCCTAAAAAAGTATAGTAGTTCTCATGGTGAGACGGCCGTTGCTTTCAGACAGTATTCATAAAATTGACCTTTAAAAAATGCCCTAAAAAGTATAGTAATTCTTGTTTTTATTGGGATAAGTTAAGAATAGGAAAGATATTGGGTGTGTCTAATTGTCTTGATTTTCTTGCACCATTAAATTTTAATCACCTTGTGTAAAAACTGTGGAGATCTGCCTTTTTAAGTTGTACTGTGTCCAGTAATGCCTAAACATTGAAACACTGGGGCGTTTTGTTATGCTCAATGTGTGTGAGAGAGAAAAGGGACTCAAGTGGGCTTCATAAGGTGACATACAGATGTAAGCTTAAAGTAAGCAAACTGGTTAAAAAAGACCCTCCACGCAAGGGCTAGGATACAGATTCATGACATGAGTAATGATTTCTGTTCCTCTTCACAGGGGACCTGACGAAGCAGCTTCCTCTGATGGTGGTAGGGGAGCACAAGGACAAAGTTATTCAGTGCAGGTGGCACACGCAAGATCTTTCCTTCTTGTCCTCTTCTGCAGACAGAACTGTAACCCTTTGGACCTACAATGGTTAGAGTGCAAACAAAGGCAACTATGCAGCTAAAGCACAGAGACCCGAGACTATGGAACTGTCCAAACAAGTAATAATAATGAGGCTTTGAGAGAGCAGCAGTTGAGCAGGAGAGTGTCTTGTCAAGAGGAGGGGCATCTGTCACTGATTTTTCTGGTTTCTAGGAGGTCTTGGTGTTTTTAGTATATTCTTTTGCAGTGCTTCCAGTCTTCCATGTTGAACTCATGCTGCTGTGACCTATTGTAGTCTTGTTGCCAAAGTCTATGAGGAGAACTCTTCTGTTGTTGATGTGCACTCAGAGTAACATGAATGATGTGTTTACAGTTTGGTATTAATTGCATTCCTTGTTCTTTGCCTCAATGAGAATTTTGTATAGAAACTTAAGTTGAGGAACACTTTAATCAAGTCTGTATGTAACTAGTTACACACATAAAAGAAAAACTACTTCCACTGTTTTTTCAGGTTTATTGTATTCATCACTTTTAAACAAGAGCTCAAACTTGATAACATCTCCATAGTTTCAACTTTTTAGTAAAAAAAAAAAAATCTGAACTTTAAAGTTTGACTAGGTAGTAACCACTTCTTGATTATAGTCCATTATATAGTGGGGGTTTTTCTTTCTTTTCATCTAACCCGGGAAAAATGTTGCTGTTTTTACTACATGACATTATTTTGAACCAGCTAACATGTTGGAGGGGCAAAAGTAAAATATTGACTTTTTTCAGTAGAAACATGTAATATTTTACTTTTTGAATGCAACAGAATACCTCTGTGTATAATGTACTGTAGAAAAGAGTGGATTGGCAGCAGTTGTCACAGTGAGTTTAATGGCTATCAGTTTTTCAAGCAAAAGGGATACCATTAATGCTGTAATACAAACCAGCATGGCTTAAAATGCTATGTCTGCATGATAATTTAAGAATTGTTTAAATTCCCAGTCCAGAAGCTTATCTGAATTTTATTTCTTGCACTGTTTATGTATGGGAAATTGCAGTTTTATTTCTACAAAACTTTAGATTCTAATGTTTATGTATTGTTATATTTTCATATTGTACAGTTCCTTTTACTTTTTGAAATATAAACCTTAAACTTTAGTTTATTTATTTATTTGAACTGCAGTTACATTTTGGATTCTCTTGGTTACTAAATTATATGTGCACTGTAGCAAGCATTTTTAACTATCGTATAAAAGTGGAAAGGTAACTATAGAAGTGTATCTGTGCTATAATCTCAATAAAGACCTCCAACACCTGCACCCATTTGATCTCTTATTTTTAGTTCTTGGTTTATAATTCCTCAGACCAACTATGATACAACGGTTTGACCTATGGTTTAAGTATGCCAGAATTATGAAATACTTAAGAGCTTTGATACTGCTTCCAAGTATTGGAACTTGCAGTGCAGTAAGTAATAATACAGTGGCGTAAAGCTGAAAATCTTGTTCATTTTTTCTTTATTAGACACATATACAATAATTTGTATGTATGATACAATGATGTGTACACAAAGCTGCTTTGGAGGAAATAGCGTTTCTTTAGTTGTCTCTCCGTGGTCAAAGCTGTCGGTCTATTTAAATTAGTATATCTGAAGCAGTAGTGATTTCCTGACATTAATTTCATTCCCAGTTGTGTCTTTACAGGGCGGGTCTGGTTTTACATCCCTCATCTTGCAGCCCGCCTGTTGTGCTCAGCTTGCGTTTAGCGCGGGCTCGCTCCGTGTCCCGGGCGCCGCTCGCAGCCGGGGCTCGGGGCGGGGCCGCCGCTGCCTCGGGGCGGGCCCGCAGCGCCGAACGGCGCCTCCGCGGCCGCTGCTCCGCCGCGCTTCCTGGGCGGAGCCGCCCCCGGCTGGGCAGCGGAGGCGCCGGGAGGAGCGGCTGGCGGGGCGGCCCCGCAGCGGGTAAACACAGCGGGTGAACGCCGGGAACCCCGCGGCCCCTCAGGTACCGCGGGCGGCGAGCGGGGCTGCGGGCGGGGCGGGCGCCGCTGGCCGGGCCTGCGCGGTGCCGGGGCGAGGAGGAGCGGGGAGGGGTTGAGGGCTGCGTGTCTCGGCGGAGCGCGGTGTCGGCTGCGACGTGAAGGAGGCGAAGGCGGGGGAGAAGCGTGCGGAGCCGCTCCTCTATGGCCCTGTCGGCTCCTGCAGCTCTCGGGCGGCAGTGCCGGCCTGCGCCGGGCCGGAGCGGGGCCCGGGGCCTGGCGGAGCCGCACCGGGAGACCAGGCCGTGGCGCCAGGCCGGGCAGGGATGTCCCTGCAGGGCCGGCCAAGGTGAGTTCTGCGTGACGGGCATGCTGGCCCCTTCGTGAGGGAATACTGAAAACCAAAGTTCATCAAGGGCGAGTGTTAGCGTTGGCAGTAGTTCGCCAAGCTGCCTGCCCCCTTAGGAGCAGGATCTCTGAGGGAGCGCGGGGTGTCGCTCTCAGAGAGAACAAAGGTAATGGAGCGGCTGGAGGTGTTGTGGCCGTGCTCTTTATAAAATAATGCGGCCAAGGGGAACTAAGCCAAAGGAGTGACCCAAAAGGCGCCCAAAACCTGAACGTGCTCCGTTAACTCGAAAGTACGTATTACTTTCCGCGCCCCAGCGTGTGCTAATGAAGTGAGACGTGTACGTGCTTTAAAGACACTCAAACTGCGCCTAAATATGAAGTGTCATCAACTGAAACTCTACCTTTTACCCTCCCTCAAAAAAAAACAATATAAATGCGGGTTAAGAGGGGCGGAGGTCAGAGGAGACTCCACCTTTGTATCCCGGCGCTGTCGGCGGGCTGTGCCTCTTTCCTCCCCCATAGGAATGCCCGTTGGGTAAGGCTCGAGCTCCGAGTGCTCCCTCAGGGAATTCAGAGAGCCAGCTACCGTTTGCGATTGTGCTTTTAGTCGTCTCCCACTGTAACGTATTTTTTGTCTGTTTATTGCTGATATTTTTTGTGTTTGTGTGCTCCTGCAGACGGTGTTTATCACCGGCAATCCAGCATTTCTGTTGCTCGGCAAATTAAAGTGTTTTGCACCTGAGGGTTGTTGAGCGTTTCCAGACTGTGGTGTGGCCAGGAGAGTTTGTTGGACATGACCAGACTCACAGCGAATCTGTGATTGTGGTGGTTCTTACTGACTGTGACTGGAGCCACAGTGCTGCACTGGCTCTGTGCTTCCCTTTTTAGTGCTGAATTGGCCATCCCTCAGAATCAAAGCACAGCCATCCCAGCCCCTCTGCTATCCGAGGAACAGCTGAAATGCAAGGGCAGTTTTTCTGCCAAATCTTCCTCTTAATGTGACAGCAAAATTTGCTTTACTGTTAACACAATGCTCTTGTGGTGAAGCGTGCTGGAGTTCTGCACCGTTTTATCATATTTAGCAATACTGAACTCTGTGCTACACCTGCTGGTAACAAAGTCAGGAGTATTGATCCACTCATATAATACAGTTTAATTGTGCATATTATTGTCAGCATTTTCCTTGGGAAGAAATATGGAAGTGAGTTTAAACCTGCTTAATGGAGAACTGAGTTTTTGAAAAGCTCTACTTGTAGTTTTTTTCATGTAAGACTGTTTCATTTTTTCATACAGCATGTTATACCCTGACCTAAATACTTGAATTTCTTGTTATATTCAATGATACAGGATGCTGTTTCCTTCGGTGTTGTGTGCAGTTGTGCTGATAGGGAGCTGTAACGTTCAAGAAGATGAATGGATTGACCCCACGGATATGCTCAATTATGATGCAGCATCAGGAACAATGAGAAGACCTTACAAGGTAGAGAAAGAAAGGGTGTGTGTCTCTCCCAAAAAGCTACATGCTGTTGGAAGATTGCTTTTAAACTGTGACAGTAAATAATGATAGCAGTACGTTGTTTTTAAGGGCTTTTTATGTTGTATTTGAATCCCTACACAGAAAAGTCCATGGTTAAAATTGCAAGGGAAAAAATAGTGTAATTAGCTCAGGACCTTTCCCTGGTGAGCTTCTGTTGCACTCAGATCAAGTCATATCAAGCAGGATTTTTGTATTTTCACAGGTGGTGCTTGATTTATGCGGGTTGTGGCACCACAGGTTACTGCTCTGAGAAGTACTGGGTTAAGTAACTCTTGCTAATTTCTCAAGTGTAGTCTTAAATATCTTGAAAATCAGGTTCCTAACTGATAAAAGTTGGGGGAGTTAAAGTTAATTATTGTATTTTATTTTAATCAACCGGTTTCCCAGCAATAGGAACCAGTTTCCCATTTTTTGTATGGTACTATTGTGAATTTTAATGGTGTTTTGTAATGCTGGGCCTCCATTTTCAGAAGAAAGGTCAGACTAGGGATTGAGTGCTGTACTTTTAATGAATCATTAACACTGAGGAGAAGATGGAACAAGAGGAATTTTCTCTGTCTTGTATGAGGAGGGGACTCTAAATACCATGAGATGCATGTTGGTTATCCTGTGCATGTGTGCACACATGGCACTGTAAACTGGAGGTGGTTGTAAGGGCACCCTTGATTTTTGCTATTATTCAGCTTTCAAGTTTGGTTTTACAGTCTTGAGTAATACTGTTTAAACACTACAGAGCATAATTTTCTGAAGCTTAAAAGGTGCAGAGTGTGTTATTGCTCTCCACAGCTTTCCTCATCAACCTCCAGCTACTCCAGGTCCACCTGGTAGTCATTAGCATCCTTAAAATCCAGCAGCAAGCTTTGGCTCTTTAAGCCTGGAGCCCAAGTGCTTCAGCTTTATATAAAAAAAGTAGTAGCTTTATTGTTGTCTCCCACAAAAATAGAACTACACCTTAAACTAAAAAAATTACTACTTTGTGTTAGTCCATCTTCTCAGGATTTCTTTTGTGCTCTGCAGAGTTTTTAGTCCCACAAAAATAGAACTACACCTTAAACTAAAAAAATTACTACTTTGTGTTAGTCCATCTTCTCAGGATTTTGTGCTCTGCAGAGTTTTTAGCTGGGCAGGCTGTGTGGGCTGCTCAAGTCCTCAAACCAGACTTTGTTTCAGCATGAGTTCACTGACTCGTGTGCTGTTGTGTTTCCTCTTGGAGGCTTCCCTCAGTGTGCACACGTGGTTGTTTGCAGCACTGCTCTGACGGGGTCTGAGCAATGGACAGAAACCATGGAGTGCTCTGGAGCAGATAAAGGCAGGCAGCCCAAAATGGGGTTTGTGTTTACTTGCAGTCTGGCTGGCGGTGTTGCCAGCTGGACTGGGAATTCACCTGGCTGAAAAGTGTCCCTTTGCCTGCTGAGTCAGTTTTTAGCCAGTGCCATTATCTAATCTGATGCACTCTGTGGATCGGCAGCACTCGAAGGAGGGGAAAGGGCAAGTGGGGGAGGACAGGCAAGACCTCACCTTTTGAAGGCAGCATGCATTTAGATGAACTCAAAGCAATTTTCCATCTGGAGCCTGAAATAACAGCAGAGAGGTAACTGCAGTGTCACTGGGAGAGAATTATCAGCAAAGATCTGTACTCAGTTTTTAGCTCCTTTGCTCCTTCTAAAGTGACGTGACTGTAGAAGTGTAACAGGACGTGTTGGTCAAATTCTTGGAGTCTGAAAATACGGTTTTCTTTTGTAATTCTAGCCAAACTATCATGACTCTGAGGAAGAGGCTGTGGATGCAGTCAGTGCTGAAGTCTCACGTTGTTCCAGGGTGATAGATTCCTTGCAACACAAGGTTTGTTCTTCACAGTATTTTCCAGTGTTTTATAGTTCGTGCTGTCTGATGATGCTCTTCTGGATAGTGTCAAACAGGTGCATTGCTGCCATAATTTATTCTTTATAGAAGGGGAACCTCTAGGCAGAGGAGAGACTGGAAGTGGTTTGAATTCATTTTGGAGTTGTTGTTCTGCAGCAAACAAAGGTCTGTTTCCTGACATGTTTTATGGTGTAACAAAATCAATAGGAGGTAGGTGCTTCTGTCCAGTGTCAATAGTTTAAAGATGTGGTGCTGATTACCCCATGCTGTTCTCAAGCTGGTCAGTCCTGTTTGATTTTAAGGGGTGGGTTGTGGGCACAGAGACCAGGGCAGTGTGCAGGTGCTGCTGTCTGACCCCCTCCCAGGATGTGGGCGTGCTTGTGTGGCTAGTGGGGCCCTTACTGCCCTCAGCCATTTGGATAGCCAGTGGGATATGTGTCATTTTAATGTTGTTTTAGTTACTTCGATTTTTTGGCAATTCTATCTTTTTTTTTTTTCCTGATGCAAACTTAAAATGTGAGGAGATCCAGATATTTGCATTTGTTTCTAGCCTTAGTGAAGTCAGGATTTGAATATTACTAGCAGATCTAGCACTGGCCAGTTCCATGGAAAGTAGTATGTTCAGTAACTGCATATGCTTTTTATCTGGCATGGGATCATTGCTAAACTAAAATGTGCCCCTGTTAATCCTGAGTTAAATGTGTTGCTATATTCGGTTTTTTCTCTCCTATGAAGAAGCTGGTTTGAGCAAAGTGAATAAAAATGTCTTTTGCACAATTGCAGGTTGCAGAGTGTGAGAAGAGGAATGCCAAATCACAGGAGAGCCGTAGCTTTTATATTTTTAAGCGATTCTTGAATAAGATTTTAAATGAAGCTGGAAGACTTGGCCTTGTAAGTATTTGAACAGTCATTTAAAGAAATAATTAAAATGAATTCATATTACTGCTTTATGTAATTTTCACAGTTACCAAGCATTGAGTAATTACGCTGGTGTACTTGAAATGAAATGAAATGAATGGCAAAGATGATAGAAGTATGTGCATCCTGTAGTGCTGAGGAGACACAGCTGTCATGTGATCTGTAAAGCATCCAAAGGAAGGGTTTGTGAATTCACTGTATCAACATCTGTTGCTGGAATGCAGCTATAGGAACACCTTGTTGTGGTCACATTAATGGTTGGAAACTGCAAGGAGCCAGATTTGGGTTGTTTATTGTAGACTTAAAAGGCCTGTATTGTGGGTCTACCATGTTAACCTGCAGAGGGTGGAAGTGAGGACCTCTGAGACCCAGCCTGCAGTGCTGTGTCCAGCTCTGGGGTTCCCAGTGCAGAGAAGAACATGGACCTGTTGAAGCAAGTCCAGAGGAGGCCACAGGCATGATCAGAGGGCTGGAGCATCTGTCCTACAAAAACAAGCTGAGAGAGCTGGGGCTGTTCAGCCTGGGGAAGAGAAGGCTCTGGAGATACCTTAGAGACCCGTTGAGTACCTAAAGGGGGGCCTATAAGAGGGACCTTCTACGGGGGTGTGCAATGCTAGGACAAAAGGCTTTAAACTGAAAGAGAGGAGGTTTAGATTAGATACTGGGAAGAAATTCTTTGCTCTGAGAGTTGTGAGGCACTGGAAGAAGTTGTCCAGAGAAGTTGTTGATGCCCCATCCCTGGAAGCATTCAAGGCCAGGCTGGATGGGGCTTTCAGCACTGTGGTCTAGTGGGAGGTGTACCTGCCCGTGAGGATTGGAGCTAGATTATCTTTAAGGTCACTTCCAACCCAAACCATTCTGTGATTCTAACCATCAAGGAATAGCAGCTTATTAGAGTTTCCATATAAGAATCACCTTATTACTTTCTTCATGTAGTGATTTCAGCTGGGGTGGAGTGAATTGTGTTCCTGGTAGCTGGAGCAGTGCTGTGTTTTGGATTCAGTGTGAGTGCACTGCTGATAACACTCTGGTGTTTCAGTGGCTGCTCACTGGTGCTTTCTCCAAGTCAAGGACTTCTCGGTGCCTCGTGCCAGCGAGGAGGTGCAGGAGGAGCTGTGGGGGAGCGTGGCCAGGGCAGCTGAGCTGAGCTGAGCTGCCACAGGGCCCCTGCAAACCATGGCTGCTGTGCCCAGCAGCGGCTGGGGGAGCTGGCTGGGAGGGGCTGATAGCTGCTGGAGGATGGGCTTGGTCAGCTTGGGGAGCAGGTGCACTGTGCACCACTTGTTCATCTGGGTTTTATTTCCTTCTTTCTCTCTTTTCGTGACTAGGAGTATTATTACCATCACATTTTATTTTGTTTGCTGTTCTTGTCTCGGCTCATGAGGTTTACCTTTTTTCCCATTCTCCTCCCCACCAGGAGGGATATTGGAGGGAGTGGCTGCATGATACTTTAGTTGGCTGAGCACTTTATTACATTGTCTTTGGAGATTTTGTTTATTCAGAGGTAGAAGAATTGATCTTTAGTAATAAGCAAAATTACTGCTAAATAAGGAACATTACATTTAGCAATGTAAAACTTCTTATTTTAGTATTTAATAGTTCCTGTCTGTATTATCCAGCTTTGACTGAGGCACACATAGTATATATGTAATTATTACTTGTTAATGAGCACTGGTCCTGAAACCTTAGTAACAAGTGAGATAGTTTATTTTTTTAGGGTTTTTTTTTCTGTAAAATTGAAAGATGACAAACCAGTTGAATTGTGTTTCATGTCGTTTCAATGAACAAAAAGGTTACAGAATCACAGTGTGACCCCTGTCCCATGTTTCCATCCTGCAGGGGGTGGAATGAATATGATCAGTTTTGGCCTACAGATGCATTTCCATTTCCAAAGAAGCAGCTTTTAACCATTGCTTTGCTTTGCTTTGAATTCAGCCTGGGGAAGATGTGGGCCAAGTCCATTACGATGCTGAGATCATTCTTACAAGACAGACGTACTTGGAGATCCTCAGGTTTGTCAATGAGGAAGCCTGGCAGCCAGGTGCCCTGGATGAGGCACTGAGTGATATCTTGGTCAATTTTAAGCACCATGATGATCAGGCTTGGCGGTGGAGGTTTGAAGACACTTTTGGAATTGATCTATATAATTTGTTTTGGGTAAGAGAATTGATTATTGCTTTTAATTGCTGTTTTCTTCAGTTTCTCTGTGCTAGTCAATATTACCATCTTAACTCCACAGATAACACAATTCTTTCCATAATACTTCTATTGACTCATTTTTTTGTGGTTGCTGAAGGATGTATTTGCTTTAAGGAGTAATTTAAGTTTTTTATTCTTGTGGTCATCTGTTCTCCATTGTACCTTTGATTTGGGGCTTTTTTTCTGGTGTGCTTTTTTCCCTTGTCTTTAATATCTGTGCTGCCAGACTCATTGTGCTCTAGCACTTTCTTACCACTAGAACTGACATGCATTATAGATCTTCCATGTTTGTCTCTTGTTCATGTAGTTCTTGAAGCTTGGCTTCTCCAGGAGTTGGACTGAGACAAATATATATTTAAACTCCTATAGGTCAGAGGCTTTTGCAGATTTTGTGGAAAAAATTGTATAGGGTTGGAGAGGAGAGCGTGACTATACGAATTACAAAGTGCTAAGCTGAGGATCTCTAATAAGCTCAAGCTTTCTAAATAAATCTTTACAATTCAGAATATTGCCAGTGTTTTATGCTGACATAATCTTGCAAGTAGCTTGTCTAGATTTGAGGGGTCCCTGGAAGCCAGATGACAAAAGCAGGCTGTCAGTAACCTCTGACAGGGGTCCTTAGGTGGAAAGACACTGTGGAGTGCTTCTTTGAAGTCTTGCTGCTGGTACCCAAACTGGAACTTTGTCTCTTTACCAAAGTGCAGGAGTTGGCAGCAGTTGTTCTGTGGTTCAGAGCAGGCACAAACTGCTCAAGCATTGGCTGACACCAATTTGATAATTTAGAAGTGTGGTCACTAATGTAACAAACATTCTAAGGAAGAAATAACTAAATATCACAAGAAACAGATGAGCACCTGCAATGTAAGGCTATGACAGGGATGGATATTAGTACTGCCACAAAACTGTTCTGCCTTGTGCTGCTCACATGGGCTGGGGAAGCAAGGAAAAACTCCTCAGCTCCTCTGTGTAAATGACATTAGTAAAGACAAAAGGTGGAAGTTTCTTCATGTGTACTGTCAGTAAGCTTGGAAAGGGCCAAACATGGGTCCTAATTTTCCCTCTTTTCTTTTTCAGCTGCTCCTGTGCTTAGTGTGCATTGTGGTTGTAATGGCTACAGAGCTGCGGACGTGTGTTTCTCGCTTTGTCCAGCTAAAATACGTTATATTTCTAACTTTTCTCGTCAGTTTTGTATGGAATTGGTTTTACTTGTACACGGTAAGTTCTGTAATCTTAATGCCTTTTTGGCCTAGAACTTTACAGTTATGAGAGAGTTAATGTTGTTTAGTTCCTTTGGTTAGTTTACATACAACTTTTAATTAACTGCAAAATAAAAAAAGGGATAAACATTTTCTTTTGCACGTTGATAGGTGTGTTAGGTGTAAAGAACAAAAGAAACCCTGACAACTGTATTCTGCTGTAGAGATGCACAAAATTCAGAGAGCACTAGGACTCTGATATCACTACATGGGCAAGGCAGATGTAACCTCTGACTAAAGCAGCTGGGTAGAAAAGGTATACAGAAATATATTCACGGGAGTTTTTTTTCTTAAAATTCCCTGGTAGAAACTGTGTTTCATGTGATAGACCAGATAAATGCCTCATTAATGATGATTAAGTGGCTGATGGTACAACCGGATCAGTTTTATTGAGGAGGAATTTAGGATACCAGATCAAAGCCCAGCTGCAAAATCTGCCCTCACATCTTGTCAATCAGGACTGAACTGCAGCTTGTCAGACCCCGGGGTAGCAGAGTGCTGGAGAGTGGGCTGGCTCTGGCATGGCATTGGAATGCCATGCAGATGGCTTGGATTGAGGCACTGCAGAATGTCAATTTTGCAACAGATGATTTGGCTGAATTTTTCTGTTTTGATTATCAGTTGCAAACAGTAAGGCAAAACTGTAATAAATACAGGTATTTCTTATGGAATTATTTGGGGAAAAAAGGAGGATGTTTTAACTAGTAATTGCAGGGCAGCTGTGTCTCTCTTCCAGAAACATTTTAAGAAAAGATGTCATGACTTTTGCCTTGAACTTGTATCTTTGAATATTGGAGTCTGGTCCTTGGACAATTCAGACTCCTTTTGGAGAATAGCTTAGAGGTAGCCATTATCTTAGGGGTTTTGTCCATTCCTAGGAAGTTCTTGGAATTTAACTCCCTTAAGTTGTTTAGGTAGTAAACTTTTCTAAATACATATTACATGGGGAATTGTCATTACAAGGGGACAATGGGGAAATGCTCATTTATGTGGGGAAGTATCCCAAGGCTGCTGGGAGAAGCAGGGATGGCTGAGGAGCAGCACTCCTGGCTGCAGCCCTCAGTGTGGGTTCTCCCTGCTGTCCCTGCAGCTGGCCTTCGCTCAGCACCAGGCAGAGATTGCCAAGATGGAGCAGTTCGACAAGGTCTGTGCACAGAAGCTGGAGTGGTATGGAAGCCTCGTGGGTAAGTTCTTGTCTTGGTACTTTGCAGTAGTAGTTAAGAGCACAAAATATCAATCCATAGTATCCCAGGATACTCAGATTTCTTCATGGGAATTCCCTTCAATACATGATTACATGGTTTTACTCTTTTCCCATCCCATAAGACTTTTTTTTCTAGGCTTTGGGAGGAGAACTGATCACAGAACTGTACTTGGGGCATGTCGTGGTGTTACTTCTTTTCTTGTAATTTATCTGTTTCCCCAGTACCATCCAGTGCCATTCACTAAAGACAGGCAGGCAGAGTTCAGGACAAGGATATTTTTTCATGTATCAAGACTGTGATTTCAGGAATTGGATCTGTAATTGTTTATTCAGGTGTTAGTATTTCACAGAGAAAGCTGATTTTTTTTATTGGCTGTTATCTCTCTCCAGTGCTATAGCAAGTAGATGGCGGGTTGTTATGGTCTTCCCTGTGTAATTTCTTGACTCTTGTTTTTGATTACATGTCAGTGATTTATGTTCTGACTGCAGTAAAACCGAACTACAGAAACACTGATGTCCTGAATCACTTATTTATAATGTAAAAGGTCCCTTAAGAAGTAAGACTTCGTGCTTGTAACTAAAACAGACCCTTGAATCCAGCAAGCAAAATAGACCATTTCAATCTCCCTGCAGACTGGCAGAGGGGCAATAACACAGAGTGATGCTGTGTCAGTAGCTGTGAACACGGTGTGCAAGTTCAGCGTTTCCACAGATGAAACTTTTTTTCCCTGAGGCTTCTGGGAACTATCTCACCTAAAGAGCTTTCTTGATTATACATGAGAAAACTTCAGGTTCTTCTCTTTGTTTCCAGCCTTCCCTCCCCTTCCTGCATCCCTCTGACTGGATAAGCTATACTGCCAAGCCAATATCAGATGTGTCAAAATAAATCTCAGTTTTGAACCGTATCTAGAAGAGTTCTCTCACATCTGTAACTAAAATGCTCCTTTCTGTATTGCTGGTGTGTCACAAAATATCTTTTTAAGAAATAGTAATAATATGTGTCTGCTTTGACTTCAGAATGGCTTCGAAGTACATGGACGTTTCAGGATGATCCCTGTAAGAAGTATTATGAAATTCTGCTTGTAAATCCTGTTTATATGGTTCCACCATCAAAGGTATGTGCCAAGCCCAAAGGGACCGCCAAGGCCTCAGTTGTTGTTTGTGTGACAACACTGCTCTTCTGTTTATTTTCTAGGCCTTGGCAGTAACTTTCACCAACTTTGTAACTGAGCCTTTGAAGGACATAGGACAAGGTATTGGTGAATTCATCAAGGCACTTATGAAGGAGATACCATTAATTCTGCAGGTTCCAGTGCTCATTACGATGGCTCTGGGTGTCCTGGTTTGTATACATTCATCTTACATTTAGAAACTAGGTTTTATTTTTTAAATATTAAATGTGTTTAAGTATTATCTGTTATATTACATATGTCTCATTTGTACAACTGAACAGATTTCTTAGCACAAAGAAATTCTTCTGCAAGGGAATTTTTTCTTGACAAAGGCTTCGTACTACTGTTGGTCTAGGAATCAAGAGCCAAGTTTTGTATTCAAACTGTATTCCTTTCCCACTCCCCAAGTGGGATATAGTAGCATTAAACTCTTAAAATCTTAGGCTCTCTGACAGTTTATTGCACCTTAGTTCCCATTTCTTCTTGGAGTCATTACATTGTGATGTGTGTGGTTGGCATTTAACACGAAGGCACTGAGTTAGAGCTTTAAACATCTTTAATGTAGCACTAACAATGAACACGTCCAGCCTGGCAGTTCCTGCGGTGTGGTCACACTGCAGAAAGCTTGAGCTGGAGCCGTTCTCTTCACCTGAGCTTTTCCTTCAGGGTCTTTCAGATATATGACAGGAAATGTGTGTGAAAACCATAGGCTGCAGATATTTGGTGTTTTGCTCAGTTTGGGTTTTTTTCCTCTCCCCCAGACTTTTTGCTATGGTGCTGGATCATCAATATCTTCATTAAGACACTTAAGGTCTTCTCAGAAGAAGAGTCTTCCTCTGCCTGCTGGTGAGCAGGAGCAAATAGCCTTTGGGCAGTACAGCGGGAGGCCAGCAGACGAGTACTATGTGCAGCAGCAGCCGTTTGTGCACAGAGGCCACCAGGACAGAGGGGACGCTGCCACGAGGCCTCTGCCCAGGCTGAGAGCCGGCAACAGCAGCAGGAGCCCGGACACCGCGCACGGCAGCGACGAGCCGGATGCACAGGTACCAGAGTCCCACAGGGACTGGAGTCCCACAGAGCACAGCCTGGTGTGTCTGCTGCTGCTCTGGGAGCTGGCATTAAACTGAGCAGAATGCAGTGGCACCTGCTACAACACATCTAAACAACATGCTCAAACCCAGATCTGGGGGGAGAGGAGCTAAGGAGCCACACGTCCCCCTATGGAACGGTTTGATCAAGGTGTCTTGGATGTGTTTCTTCTGGAAAAATACCCTGCAATGGCTAACTGTGGCAAGAAACTACTCAATTAAAACTCTTTATGGTAAAGACAGCTTCAGTTTTGAGAGATCAGTATGTCTGTCAGTCTGGGCAATCATGATAACCCACAGAAGAAATGTGGAGGAAAAAAGCAGTGCTGACTTCCCTGTAAACTACAGAAAATTCAGAACAGATTTATACTCTATATTGGGCTTATTTATATGTTCTGTTTCCCGAGGGAAAAAAAATGCCCATCATGCTCCGGGTGAGCCCTACCCCTTCAGCTGGGATGCACTTGAAACAATAGATGCTGTCACTTTTGATTGCTTAATTAATAGGTTATTATTAATTTTTTGCAGAACAGGTTGCACACTGAATCTGAAGTTCATAGACTTGAAACTCTCAAAGCTGAAAACCTTACTGCAGAAGCTGCACTTGAGCAGCAAAAACAGGAGACAAGCAAAGGAGAGGGAGAGACTGGAGAAAACTGTGACCCTAATAAAAACCTAGAAGGGAAAAGTTCTGCTGTGGAGCCGTGCGAAGAGAAGAAAGAGAATGTTTTACATGACTCCCAGAAAAGAGCTAAGGAAGACCCAGGCTCTGCTGTAAGTTTTGTCTAATCTTTACTTGTCAGGTACTTGATAATTCTGCTCTCATTCTCAAGTGTAGGAGAGAGAAGAACATCAGCAAGCTGTTAGGTGTAAAATCTGGGAGAGGATACTCTGTCTGGAATCTGAAATAAAGGTGTTAAATAAGGTTATATACCTTTAAGTGACCAGAAAAACCCAGGCTTCTGGAGTGTTGCTGCTTGTTGGAAATCAGGTCTGTGTAATAAGTTATGAGTAATTCCCATAATGCCAATTCCCAGTTCAGATGTCTCAGGTCTGTCTTTGGGTTTATGTTCTTTAAAATCAGTTCGCTTCTTGTCAGCTCAGTTTTAGGACAGCTGATGGATTTCCTCGTGGTGTAATGATCTGCAGAGTGAGAACCTGATGTTGTAGCAGGTGCTTTTTAGGCAGTTCAGAGCTGAACAGGGCCAGGAGCAGGAGCTACCCTGGGAATGGACATTGCAGTGGTTGTTCCCCAGAACTCCCCCAGCCTGGAGAGGAGCTGAGGTCAGGTACAGGAAGCAGCAGCTGTGCATTTCCTGTGTGTGGCACTGGAAATTGGGGTGCTGCAGGTGCTGCCCCAGGCCCAGCGCCCCCCTGATTGCCTGGTGCATGGGCACTTGTCACACAAACTGCAGAGCAGCATGAGCAGCTGTTTCTTGAAAGTAAGTACCTCTTGAAAACTTCTGCTGATTGCAGAACTGTTCTGAATTATTGTGGGAAGCAGTTAGCTAAATATTACAAAAAAAAAACATAATGCTCGAAAAGACTATTTTTTTATTAAACATAATTAAAACTAGGGTTTATTGTTTTTGTAGAAATTGTTTCTTCCAAACTGTGTTTCTGCAGAGAGACTAAATACTAAAGCGATTTCTTCTCTTTTTTAAATTACTTTTTTAAAAAAGTATAAAAGAAAACAGAACTTTTTTTCAGAAAGTACAAATCGGGGGAAAAAATCAAATTTTCTTTTAAAAGAACATAAAAATTTAAGTCTTTCACTAGATTGAGACAGTGGTAGAATCCACTAATGAGCAATGAGAGAATTGACAGAGAAAAAAAAGTCGTAATCATTTTGATAGACTAGAGGCAAATAAGAGGGAGACACAGTACCAGTACCTCAGACACTGCTCTGAAAGCAGCTGCCAAGTGCAAGCAGCTCTGTAAATACTGCTCACCAGGGTGATGCTGCTGCTCTTTCTGTGAAAAATCAGGAGAAAGGAGACAGAGCTACTAATTGTAGTCATCTTAAAAAAGGCAAGTGTGCTTTTCCAGCAAACCAGAATGATCCCTAGGATGCTGCTGTACATATTTCTGGGGTCTTCAGCTGGAATTGGATCCCTTTATAGCTGAGGGTAAGTGGACTCTCTGCTCATCCATTCTCTTCGCTTGCGAGCGCAAAATCAGGCTGAAAAAATCCTCATCTGGTACAGTGGGGCCTCTGGCAGCTCCTGGAGGAGCACATCTCTGATCATCCAGTCTGGAACCCTACAGACAGACCAAGCAATAAAAGCTGCATATTTACAGGAAGATATGGAGAAAGTGAACAATACTAAGTGAAAAAACAACTAAAACCTTTTGCTGGCAGATTTAAACCTGGGAGAGAGATTTAATTTCTAAGTTTTGTTTCAAGTTAAACTTGCTAAATGAGATTATTGAGTCCAAGTGTAACTAAAAGGTTTCCTCTGACCCACTTGTCCTATATGTCTGAAAATGACCCCCCAGTTCAGTTCTTTGACATATTGCAAAATGAGATTTAAGTGTCCCTAGTTCAGAAGATTTTTTTAGCATTAGTACAGGGTTTCTGGTCTCATACACCAGAAGTATGGTTGTCTTCCTTTCCTTATACAGGGACTAAAAAATAGCTGGAGTGGTGTGAGATTTGGGAAGGCAGTCCTTGAAGGCCCCTTGCCTCCACTCTGTGCAGCTGGGTAGTTTAGTGCCAAGGTCACAGAGTAGGTGGCAAACCTGATGGGCTGGGCTCTGCTCCTGAGCTGGGGAGAGGCGTTCCCCAAGGCACAGGCTGCTGCTGGAGGGCAGTGTGGGCACAGGAGCAAAGCACAGCTTTCAGTGCTGGGTGGACCTGGGACACCCTCGAGACAAAAAGGCTCAAAGGCAGCAGCCCTTCTGAGCTTGTTTAAAGCAGTAGTGTCCTTACTCATTAGACAAGATTAAATATTTTTCCAGTCCTAAAAGAGAATATTTCTAGATTCTTTCTTTGCTTGACTCACAGAAGGAAACAGACAAGCTGCTGTAACAGAACATGGTATTTCAGCAGGCTGATGAACACTGTCACTGTAGACTCAATTCCAGGGGCTGCTTTCTCAGCCAGGCTGCCATACTTACTGACCTTTGGGGAACTCAGCATCTGAATTTTGTATTTTTGGCTACTTATCAACCAATCAGACAAACCAGCAAGTCTTTTTAATTCTTTTTGGTCTAATTGGTATATGCACATGCTCTAATTGAAAATCAGTCACCTCGCTTGTATATTGCTATAAACTATTATTTAAACTTAATCTCATGGGAATGATGACCACTCTTACCACCAAAACCTGGATACTGAATTCTTTCAGTTGATAAATTAGGATTGCTGGTGTATCAGGTGCCCTCCTTAGCAAGCCAGGTCTAAACACTTAAAACCATTTTACATACTCCTTGCAATAGCCTCACTTGTTTTTCTTCACTTTTTAAGCATTTCTTACTTTTAACAGTTATTGTGGTATAAATATCAAAATTATACTTGCTGGACACTGGATAATTTAAAAAACCCCAACCCTCACCGTCTGTTCTCTTACATTCTTCCTTATCTGTCAGATCAATACGTATCTTAAAGCACGGTGGCTTCCTCACAGGAACTCAGCAGAGGCAGGAGCTGAGGAGGCGGTTGTTAGGCATTACCTGGCATTTAATCAGTATGTCGAAGAAGTCGTCGTCCAGGTCCCTGCTGCTGCTGGCCACGAGGTGGCCCAGCACAGCGTGGCTGCCGCGCTGCCGCAGCCGCAGGCCGGGCAGCTCGCTGAAGCTGGCGCGCTGGTCATCGAGCCGGCGGCTCTGCGAGCTCGCCAGCAGGTCCAGGAACTCGTCCGTGTGCGGGGACACCGCGGACGTGGAGAAGGCTGCTCGGGACAGACAGAACAAGCTCAAGTTAGCCTAGGAGTAAATCCATTGCTGTAGTGAGTGGTGCACGCAAATACGTTTTGAAAAGAGTATTTGGCAAACATTCGAGTCAAATACAGATTTTACTTGAAAAAAATTACATTTTATCATCGTTTTAGGTGGAGTAGAGGATGTTGCCACCGAAGGAGCCGAGAGTCTGTTCTTCTCCTGGAAGCAGCACCTCTGATCATCCATCCTGTTACTCTGGAACCGACTCAGCAGATCGAAGAACCCTTCGTCTGCCACTGTCTCACGGCTGCTTTTCTGAAAAGGAGAAAATTTAGGGTATTTGACCTTAGAGTGCCTACAGCCGGGACAACTGCATCGGAGTTTCAGTCCAGTGATATGCTTGATATTTACATATCTGAAATTTATTAAATAAATTTTTTTTTAGCCAACCATTTCTATAGCCAGAGATCTATCCAAGGAGGAGATGGTAATGCTAGGGCAGCATTTTGGAGAGTGACATACATTAGAAATGTCTCATTCTCTGGAATGGAAAGAAACAGTGCTCTGATCATGTAAAATGGGAGTTATTCCTCCTCGGCCATTAATCCAAGAAAACCCCAAATGCCCATTAAGGAAAAAGAAACAAGACCAGCATTGAACAGTTACCCTTGTCTCCTCAGGTCTATGACCAGATGACTCAATTCTTTTATTTTGAACTGACTTCTCAAGAGTGTAACACCTAAAAAGTGTGTCCAAGATACCTCCCACTGCCTGAATCAGAAAAACTAGATTTTTGCTAAGTTTGGAGAAGTAGGGTCTAGAAGAGACTTAGAAATAAAATTTGCAAGCTGAGGTTCTAATTTCAAGAAATCCATGGAGAAGTAGGGTCTAGAAGAGACTTAGAACCTCAGCTTGCAAATTTTATTTCTAATTTCAAAAAATCCACCACAAATAAAATGTTTCAATAGTAGGAAAATCTTAAAGCTGGTACTACCCCTGAGAGAGCTGTAGAATGACAGATTCTGCAGCAGTTTAGAGCCACAGTGTTTAAATCAAGTTAAACTGAACAGGCTGCAGGAAGGTGTTTTCCACAATTCTGATCACACAAAGATGAGTGAAGGCCATGAGCTCACCACACCTACCCTCTGAGAGTTTGGAAGTCGATGATCAATGGAATTACTGGCATCCTGCAAAACTTTGGAGGTGGTGCCATTTTTGTACTTTTTGCCTTTTAGTCGATTTACAAAATGAAGTTTTGCTGAAGTTTTGGCAACCAGTGGTTTCTGTTTAGCAAGAATCTCACTGTTCCAGTTCGGAACCTAAGAAAACAAGAGTCAGGAAATTAAGCCTTGCCAGTACTGTTACCTCTTACCTGCTGCTGCTTCTCCTCCCCAAAATGAGGCAGCTTGACACTATTTTGTTCTTGCAGCCACAAGGATGTACCCAAAGAGGCTCTTGAGTGCCAGTGCTGACTTCAGCTGTACTGACTACACATGCTTTGAGATTTTATTGATTAACATAACAGGCTTTGCCTTACTTGAAGAGACTGGAATTAGATATCCCAGTGTGGAGGGAAAAATATCAATTTCAGTCTGCCACTGGAATCATTTATGCAGAACTGTCAGCCCAGTGTTGAAAGGCAGAATGTAAATCTCTCATAGACTGATACAAGGATTTTAATCGGGAACTCCCATTGCCAAAAGATTGTTGTTTTGCCTGTGACTCAGCTGTAACATTTCTGAAATAGCATCCTTACTCAAGATGGAGTTTGAAGCTTCTGATGGTTTGCAAGTTGGTTGAAATCTCAAAGGGAAAAACACAGTGTGTATTTTAAGCCCCTATAAAATTACTGTAACCAAAGAAAAAGTGCTCTGAAGAGCTAAGCTAAAGCTTAGAAATTTTATTCTGAATTACTTTCATGCTGCAACCTCAACCCATCTCTATAAATACAGAGACGAAAATGCCTTTGATGCTCATTACAGAACCCCATTCTTTCTCATTTGTGCAGGGAATAAAGCAGGCTTCCAACAAGCCATTACAGCCATCACCTGTCACATGCTGGTACCTACATGACAAAAGTATTATTTGTTAGTGTTGTTAGACCTGCTGTTTATGGAGCTCCTATGATCAACTAAATTAAAAAGGGAGGCAAATGGCACATCAGCACACACTCAGAAATGTTTCACTTCAATCTCAGCAGCAGAACAGAAAGCAGTAAAGTGCCAACCTTTTCTGGTGTTAATTTCATAAGTTCCATGTTCTCCATACTGTAACGGCGTCCTCTTGGTCTGCCACCTTCAAGAGACAAATTCATCTTTTTTATCATTAAAATTTATGGTGTCACTTGACAAGCTGTGGCTGTGCTCATCTAAGGTCCAAGACACAGACACAATTAGAACACACACACAAAGAAACTAAGCAGTAACCTGTGATTCACAATATAAATCCTCCACAAAAGGAGGTGCTGAAGGGGTCCAATACCTCAAGAACTTTTTCTAGCTGCTGGGGAGAAAACCAAGCAAACTTGCATACTGAAGCCCAACTCAGTAAAGAACTCAAATGAGATTCTTTAAGTTGTCTGTTGGGAAACTACTTCAGAAAGAGGCACATACCATTCAAACTGTTTTCCACTGCGTGGCTTTCTGCCATCATGGAGTTGTTTGTGCTGTAGCTTAATCCAAGAACCATTTTAAGATCTGAGAGATTAAGTCTGGCAGTGAGTTCTCCATTTCTGTCTCCTACCTTCAAGCAAATAAAATAAGCAGTTGCATTACCTTAACAAATACTCACATGTGTAACATTAAAGTAATCCTTGTCCCCATGACTTCTGAGAGAAAAAGGCTGAAAAGGTTTTCCTGAAGACTGAGAACATCTTTTTAAAGAAGCAACAATTAACAGGTAAAATAAAAAAGCCTAAAATAATCTTTGCTAAGCCACTAACTTCAGAGTCCATGATGACATCGTGAGTGGTGACACTAGGACTAAGGAGCTGACTGGCTGAAATAACCTGGAATCTGCTGCCTCAGGAATAACTGACAATGCATTCCTTCGCTCAAAATCAGATGCACAAACACACCTCCACAGCACCTCTGTGAGTGAGAGCAAAAACCAACAGCCAGCATAGTGGGAGTATGAAAATCATACCTCTCTTGAAATCTCCAGGTGCCTTTCTGCGAAATGGATGGCTTGTTCATGATTTCCCAGAGCAGTATAAGCATTCCCTAAACTCCAGCATGCTCTTCCTTCCCCAATTCTGAAAGCAACACACATTTGCAATTACACCTCTACCTGCTGAACACCAGAGGTCAGGTTTTCACAGCACTGACAAAGTAATTTGCTGGGCCAAAAAAACGGAGGCAATCATCAGAGACCATTCTACCACCAACACACCAAATTTTTTTTTAAAGGAGTTTGATCTGGTTATAAATAAATATGAACAATTTAATAAAACCAACACACTAAATTTTTTTTAAAGGAGTGTGATCTGGTTATAAATAAATATGAACAAATTTAATAAAAATGTTTAATTTTTAAGCTCACAGCAAACAAGTTACTTTTGTAAGCATGGGACATTGTATAACCTACTTTGCATGCCTTATTATTCCTCTGTATTCTTAGTGACTTAAGAAGAGGCACATTTAAATGTTGCAAAAAATTATGGTTGCACTCGACATTATAAAAAAGGCCTCAGAAATCAGTACTGTAATATAAACATTACCTGCTGCTGTATTATTCTCCTTCCCCCATCCCTTCCTATATTAACTCATGGGCAAGTAGAACACAGAGTCTTAGGAAAGTAGGGTGAATTATTATAATGAACTCATGAAAGACAGATCTGCTTTTCCTTAATTTACACAGACGTGCTGACAGGAGCTGATGTAGAAACAGTCATTCATCAATTTGTCTTTCACCTCAGACTCATTAGCTGCAATACCATTATGAGTAATTTTCGTTTTCCATATGAAAACCAAAGCCCAGCATTGGGGGAATTCCCATTAATGCAGCTGTCACATGGGGAACAATGACAGTAGAGTTGAAGTGAACAGGATTTGCTGAGTGTCACACATACATTAAACAATCTCTAAGGGCTTACTTGTCATGTAGCTCCTGAGCAATCACAAGGTGCTTGAGATGATAGTCAATTGCTTTCTCATAGTCCTGGAGCAGAGTGTAGGTGTTCCCCAGGCTGTAGCAGGCCTGTGCTTCCACAACTCTGTCCTTCAGCTGCCGAGCCAGCTGCAGTGTCCTCCTGCACGAGAGGGTCAGTCACCTCAGAAACCACCACAAGGAGAAGCTTTCAGAAGTGCACATGCACAACTGAAAATCAGTTACACAACTGCAACAAACTGGGGCAGCAGGCTAGCAAATTACTGGCTAATAAATTACTGTCTTGTAAACCCTTGCAATCTCACACTTGTAAAGTCTTCCCTCCACTGCAACTACTTCATTAGAGAGCAGGCTGATTCCTCAAACAGCATCTTTTAATTTACTGCTTCATTAATAATTTGTAGGAGTTTTCCTGACAGGTTGCACTGTTTAATACCAGTGTTACAATACCTACTTCCCCATCAGCATGGGCAGGACAGGCCTGTACTCACCAAGCCAGCCTAGCCGTGCCGGGCAAGAAGAATTTGAGTGCTCAAAGGGATCTGCTCAGTACTGAGGCTTTTCTCCTTAAGAACAGGTGTGCTCTGAAATCCCAGTCAGATGCTAACAACACCTATACTGTATCTTTGCCAAGCTTGTACTTTCCCAGGTACAGCAGCAACTGCTTAGTGGTGCAGAGATCAAGGCAAGTCTGGCTTGAAAATATAGACTAAAGATGTAAATTGATGTTGCTGTGCACCAGCTCTCTCAGCTGGTGAGCACACCTGAGGCAGCCACCCATCTCAGGGTAGGAAAGCTACTCACATCATTCCAGAACTCACTAAGAGCTGAGACAGTAATGCCTGCTTCTAGAATAATGGGAGTAAATGCCTAGCAGTGAAAGATGTCTGTCTACAGCACTGCAACTATTTAAAGTAGCAAAAGAATTTTAAAAAGCATTAATGCTGCCCCTCCCTTAAGAGTGGAGTAAATGCCTAGCAGTGAAAGATGTCTGTCTACAGCACTGCAAAGAAACTATTTAAAGTAGCAAAAGAATTTAAAAAAGCATTAATGCTGCCCCCTCCCTTAAGAGAACCAGAATAGTTAAACAACAAAGGAAAACTTTCTTTGCTAAACAAATGGAAATTTTTCTAAAGTATATGTTGAAGCAATGGCTGTTCCACAGGGAGCTACTGCATCAGGCACAACAGAAGTAAACTGTACAAGAGGTATAAATTGTGTTTATCAATACTCACTCACCTGTAGTATTCAGCAGCAGTTTCAAATTCCCCCAGGAATATGTAGGCATTTCCAAGGTTGGTGTATGCTCTTCTTTCTGCTGATCTATCACCAAATTCTTTTGCAA